TATTCATTCATAATTTTTCAATGAATATTCGAATATTAAAAGTATTGAACAAATGAATATTCGAATACAAAATTTTTAACCGGATAAGACCTCTAGTTCTTTGATCCCGATCCCTGCCATTTGCTCCATGATTTGAGGGCATGGGTTGTAGCACGTGGCATGTAACTCCTGGCCAGTTCTACCCTTTCTTTTCGATCTGTTGACCCTTGTCAACATGCATTTATTGTTTAAATAAAACATTTTATCCGGCAAACTCATATGATCATGGTACAATTTTTGCATATTATTTTTTTAGATGGTATGACATGATTAGTGATGTTTCGGTACCAAATTAAGGATACGGCAATTTTTGATCAGGATTTGGGATTTTGCTGATATATAAAATTACAATATATTAGTCATATGATGATAATTTTTCCATCTGAATTAATGTCACTTTTATATGGCAGCGAATTTTGTTGCTATTTGTGACATTATTACGGCAAATCCCAAACTAAGTTTCGGCAATTTGGGATATGGCAGATGATGAAATTATTGGGTTTGGGTGACACCATTAGACATAATGCAAAATAATAAATTTTGTACAAATAATATAATCAAAACTAACAACTTATATTCAGGTTAAAATTTTATTAAAATTCTAAAATTGGGCCGGAAAACCTAAATTGGATTTTTTTCAAAATTCTAAATGATGGGCCAGGAAATACTAATTCTGATCAGAATTTTTTCGAAATTTCAAATTCTGGGCCGAGAAACTTAAATTCTGATTAGAATTTTTTAAATTCTAATATTTTTGGATAGGAAGTACAAATTTGGGCCCAAATTTCCTAAAATTCTAATGCATTGTGCTGGGATCATATAAAATCCTCAGATAAAATTAATTAATATGTTAAGCATTTTATATATTAAATATCAAATTCTATGCTAATAATAATTTTTCACTTAAAAATTAAATGTTTAATTATTAAAAGTGTTACTAATAAGGAATTTTTCAACAAATTCTTTATTTTGTAATTTATTTCCACCTTTAACCTGCTTATTTTTTGTATTTTTAGGAATGTTCTTCAAGCTTATCAAGAGTAATTGCCAATAATACTTATGAATCAGTTTATTGAATATATTAATTCACATTAACAAAGCTTCAACTACCAGAGCAACTTCACAAAAATCATTTGGAGCTTCATGATTATCAGTAATATTATTATCATTAGTGGCATTATTATTATTAGCTGTGTTACTTTTATTAGCAGTTCTATTATCATTAACATTATTACTATTAGCAGCTTTATAAAAAAAATATGTATTAAATATTCAATATTGTAATAAAAAAACATTATTCAAAGTTTTATTATCTTTTTATATTTGTGCTAACACATTACAAAACCTCAAAGACCTTTTTGTTGCATTATAGATTTTGGTCTTTCATAAGCAACAAGACTCTTTTGCAACTTGTATTTTATAATTAACATTATCACAATATCCAAGTATTTGAGCTTTTTCAATAACTGCACTGCAGTTTTTCTTTTGAAGTAATTTAATATATTGTAGGTTTCAATTTTAATATCTGTAACTTCACATATAGTCTAAAAATAACTCTTAATATTTGCTTATCTAATACATATTTATAAAACTATTTTTTATTAAAATTAGCTTTAAAATAGATATAAAAAAATATTAGTTAAAAACTCTTTCCGTTTATCACTCGTACACAAATTTTTTACAAAACTAATTTTTTTAAAAAAAACAGCTTACAACCTTTTTTTACTAAGTTAATCTTAGTTTGCTACTAAATAAACTTGTTCTTTATACA